ATAGATTAGAGATTGATGGATTGGTTCTCTTAGAGATCAGCTGAATAGCTTAGATCTCTAACAGTAAAGTATAAGATAAGTTTAAGAATAAGAATAAGAAATTCTAAGGAAAGTTTAATAATAGTCTTTCTAAGAAAGAGCGCTAAAAGCGCTATAATAACAAAGCATATCTTAGATACGGGAAGTTAGGATACTTCTATAGAGACTACCTAGATAACGAAGTTAAGTAAGGAGTAGTTAAGATTAGAATAATTAGAATACTAATACCCTACCTAACTAAGAAGTTAGATAAAACCCTTAGCGATCTAGATCTATACGACGAAGTAAAATAAGCTAATAATAATGCCTTTAAGCTAGTATAAGAGGTAATAGGACTTTAAGACTTTAAGTAGAACGACCTACTACTAATAGATTAGTAGGTTAAAGAGGCTAAGATACTACGCCGTCTAAGAAACTAATAGTACTAGGTTTATAGAAACCCTATATACTAAGCTAACGATTGCGACGTTAAGAGATAAGTTATAGTCTTAGAACTCTATATAGAAGAAATTACTTATAGAGCTGCCTAAGAATAATCTAGATTTAAGGAACCTAATAATAAGGAGATACCTTAGACGTTTAAGAAATAGATAGAGTAACACGAGCGCCTATATTAGGTCGACTACCTAAAATAGTATAACTACTACTTAAGGAAATAAGAAGAGACTAGAGACGACGAGAACGATTGCTGCTATACATACCTATAGCATAACGAGTGCCGTATATCGCATTATTATATACACTAGCTAGAGGAAATAGAGACTTACGAGGAGCTATACTAGATTGAATACATAACTAATTACTAATTCTATAAGAAACAATAATAGAGAGCTAGAAGAGTAAACGATTACTACTATAGCACGATATCTACTAAGAAATACGTAGTAAAGAATTACAGAATACATAGAACCTAAGTACAGGACCTACTAGAAGTAGAACACGTTAAACTTCTATAAACGCACTATAAAACTAGATGCGCCCTACACTAATAATAGTTCGAGGATACTCAGAAGGTAGACAATTACTACCATAGCACCCTGTTAGCGAACGTCTATAAGGCAGAAGACTGCCAGATTCACAAGAGCAAGAAGCAAGAACTAAGGAAGACTATAAAGAGGGAGACGCCTTACCGTAATATTTACTAGAGCTTTTACTATAATAATTAATATACCAATCACTACGACGCCAAGATTAGTAGAGAACGTTTCCCCTAGGAACGGAAGAAGTCGCAGAAAGGACGACTCTCTAAGCCAAAAAACTAGGATGCCGCTAGAGACAGGGTCACGCTAGCGAAGGCAGTCCTAAAACGACCCTTAAAGAAGTACGAGAAGTAGGAGCTTAAGACTTATAGCTACGAGCCATAGTACTTATAGACGGACACAAAGTGCTAGCGCTCATAGACAGTAAGGCAGCACGAACCATCATCTCACCACGAGTGGTAGAGAACAACAACATACCCTATCGACCTAAGAAGGTTCTAATATAAGTAGTATTAGCTAACGACAGTCCCACGACGTACGGGAACGGTTAGGTCCGACTTAAGACTAAGGCAGTAACGCTACGCCTAGTAGGTCAAGAAAGCCGAGAAAGAGTTAGCATTATAGATCTAGAAGATACCGAGATGATAATTAGCTACGACTAGTTAATAAAGCACAACCCTGTTATTAATTAGCAAAAGAAAATAATACTTAGCAGAGAACCTATATATAAAGTTACTAAAGTGTAATACAAGACACGCCTAAGAAATCAGCGCGCAACCTAGAACGGGAGATTTAGCATAATCTTACTATATAAGATCGCGAGAATCTATGCGACAGACCCTTAGAGTATAGAAGTTATTTAGATACGGCAGATCGCGACCACGAAGGAAGGATCGGTACCACAGTTAGCAATTCTAACAGAATACTAAACAGACGAGTTTAGAAAACTATTCAAAAAAAACAAAGCAATAGACTTAGCAGAACACTAAGATTAGGATCACGAGATTATCCTAAAGGAAGGAGCAAAGTTAAGCCTAGAAGGAATATACCCTATAGCGCCCAAGCACGACGCTAAGCTAAGGGATTACCTCTAAAAGAACTTAAAAAAGGGATTTATCTAACTAGAATTAGGCCTAATAGCCTTACCTAT